GGGGCTGTAGAGGTATTTATTCGCCACAAAAGCAATTCTCTCTAACTTGTGGTAGAGTAACCCAAATAAAGATAAGATCAATTTAAACAAAAGTAGTCGAAATGGTTGGCCAGAATATAACAACAAAGATTTTTATACGTAATTTTGAAAAAGCAAACCCTTCGTGTAATTGCAGAATTTCATATTAGTTTTAAAATTGTAATTTTTTTTTACGCATGCGTGACTCCGTCTAAGAAAACCGAAAACTTGCACAAGTAACCTCACGAAGCTGTCACTTCAAGGTAAGAAAACGACCACCATCGTGGAATCCCCATAAATGTACATAGGAAGAGTATCCGCCATCTTATATATTCTATTCAATCTTCACAAATGCCACGCATTCGCGCAAAGAGACAACAAACTCCGCGCGAGTCCCTCACGTGCACCTCCTCCGGACATGAAGAGCTGCCAATAATATCGTACTAAATCCCTACCAAAGCCACGGGGAAGGAAGAGGGGGTCAATGTTAGCTTTGAATGATGCTCAAAAGTAAAATGCGCAAAATTAAACCTTTGTTACTGCTTTATTTTGCATCACTACAAACTTTTCGACCGCCTCGTTACAACTTTAAGTACTCCATGGTCTAAAACACCATGCCAGAAAACACTACTCAGACCATAAGGCTACATTATGAACTTAGTTGTATCATTGGCTACCGTAAAGAGTTTTTAAGAGTAATGGATTTAATTGCCTGGATGTGAGGGTGAAACGTGAGAGCAAATAGAATGCAGTCGAAATTTTGAATCTTGGTTTTCTACCACATAAAAAAACCACTTAAATCAAGTGAAATCGGTAAAATAACGACACCAGAAACAAACACCACACGTATGGAACAAGGTAAGCCATATTTATTTAATATTTTCAATTTTAACTATCCCTGTGGATATCTTGTAGAAAATCCCATACAAATCCTTATAAATATGCAAATTGTGTTCCTTGTGTGGTTCTCCAAAAGAGCTTGGGCCGCCTGTGATTTAGATTGTATAAGAATGAACAGTTTTTATAAAGGAGTGTAGGCTATGAATATTTTTATAGCAGT